CGTGTTAATGCTGAATGTTTGTAAAAAAAAAAAAACATCCTTAAAAAAAAGGAAACCTCATTTTCTTGAATTAATTAAAGTCAGTTATAAAAGATATTAATATCAAAATAAGGATCTAAGGCTAGAGGAAACGAATACGGAGAGAAAAAGAATATTCTTAATATGGTGGGAATCGAACTTTAATTAGATAATTAGTTCCAAAAAAAAGGAGAAAAAATAGTGCCTTCATGCCATACCCCGAGACATCCTCTGGGTCATCGTATGGACTTCGGACATGACGGCAATTAAGTCCCTCTGCATATTGTTCTCTATATTGTTTGCATTCTAAAATATAGATTTATAGCTTTGTTTTTTTTATATTCCAAATTTGTGCTTATCATGTATGCAAGCACTTAAAGAACAAAACATTTTTATTAAAAAATTCGCTAATGTATTACATGATATTGTATTATTAAAACTGGCTTTCTGATATACCATAAAATGACATGAACCTTCTTCATATTGATCATTATAAATTTCTATAATTAAGAGAGCCCGTGCTCCTGCCTGACTTTTTTGTGCATAGACCTATAGCCTAGGATGTCTTCGCAATTATAATAAATATCAAAATGACGAAGCCGTCGGTCGAGCGAACGAAGACTCCACGCGTACTCTATGAATCTAGCATCTCTCGCCTTTGCAGGCCCTGTCGAACATAATCCTCCAACGACTCCTTGAGTCTCTCATCGTTTTTCCAAGGCGCCCCTCTTTCGTCCATTTGATTCGCAAACTGTTTTAAACTTACTCTCATAATAACTTTGAAGGAATTCGCGAAGATATCTACTATAATTTTACACGCTGGTAAACCGCAGTGCATGCCGGGATAACCAGGGCGCGCAAAGGATCGTGGCAGCGTCCGGCTGCCGAGCGCTGCCACTAAAAACGATTTTACTTTTGATTTTAAAATGATTTTGAATTTTAGCATTTTTAGCACATGGCATGGAAAAACCTTTAAGACTTCAAGAAGTTGCGCTTGAGGGTCCTCTTGCACTTTGCACTTAAACTATATATTTTTTTAGTGTTATTCAACATCTTACCCCATATAGAATTAATACTGTGAATATTGTCAGAAGGGTGATAGTCGCTTTAAGTGGATAAATTTGTATAGGAAATCGCACGATCTCGAGTACAATTTGGAAATTAATAGACACGAGTAATGTTTTGAAAGTTCTTGTAATTGCACGAGTCTTTAGGCGAGTGCAATTAAAGAACTTTCAAAACATTACGAGTGTCTATTAATTCCAAATTGTACGAGAAGATSGTGCGATTTTTTGTTTATAGTTCACTCAACAAAATTTCAGTAAAAAATGCGAAGCGACGCTGTTCATCTTTGTCTATTTGGCGGCCGATTTCCAGTCCATCGTGCAACTGAAATGCGTAAAAAAGATTAGTTCTTACGGCTTTAAAATTTTATTTGTACTTTTTAAGTATAAAATGATAGAAAATAATTGTTATGACATTGTTTTGGCCGTGTTGCCATAGCGACTTAATTCGGTACTCCTACGGAGTACAATTGACGCTATAATTGTACTCCTCTCGACCAATCAGAGTCGAGAAATTTTGTTGAGTGTACTATAAGTTGCATAACAGCATCGACTTATGCATTGGATTATAGAGGATTTATCCTTTGAATAGCACCATTCACTGTTCGTACAACCACAGCGCCAACATGTATAGTTGTATAATTTCATGTTCTATTTAAAAAATGATATTCATGTTAGTTTCAACCAAGAACCGATTTGACTGATTCCATTCGGGTTTTTAATACGTTGTTAAAAAACAATAACGGAAGGAAACAATGTAGCAAGAAAAGGAAGCAAGGATTTTTAGTTGTAACTTGTAATTTTCTTTGCGTTTTAAAAAGTGGTTTTCAAAAACCCGGTAAAAAATTTTCTTGCGCAGTTAGCCTTTATAAATTCTATAACATTTAACAAAACATGCGAACTCTGTAGCTGCGAGCTGCGAGTTGTACGCTGAAATTTGGTTTTACGCTGCGGCCGATCAAAAATATGAAAGGTATCGACTAATAAGTTATGATTGATGGCAGCAAAAACTTATTTAGCAGTTATACGCGTTATTAGCCAGTAGCTAAGATTAATTGTTTCACGGGTTTTTGAAAACCACTCTACTAACTTAATTACCAATTAACTAATAATTAAGTTTAGGAGAAATGAAAAAGGAGGGAAAGAATTGTATAGATAGATAGAGGGGAAGTATTTCAAGGAAAAATGAGGAAAGGGAAGGAAGGAGGAATCCTAGCCAATCAGATTGTGAATCGCGTTTGCTGAAAAAGAATCAATCCCAATAGACCTTTGCGCACCTCGAGAAGCAGAAAAAACAAGATATATATGTGTGGATCGGTAATAATCAAGAACATACATATAAGAATAGAATACATATTCAAATCCAACTCAAAGCAAATTGGCGTCCTTCGCGACAATGTTTCGTCCAGGACTCTAGGCGTGCGGTCATGTTAGGGATTGATTCTTTTTCAAGTCAGAAATTCATGCATTGCGCGCTTTCCGAGATGAACTGGAAGGAAAGATGTGTGAAAGGAATCTACGTCAAATATATTTAATAGACAAGACTTTGATGTCTGTAAGCATTTGCTTTATTCAGCTGTATCTACTGTACCCAGCTATTTCCAAGTTACAAAATCATAGATTATAACAGCTTGGTCTTACACTCGCACGGCGAGCAAAACATATTATTAACCTTCGTTCTTTGCAAACATATCAACAGCTATGTCAAATAGAGTTAACAATCAGGGACTTGTTTGATTGGGCCATTCTTTTTTTCGGTCTGTTTTCTTATTTAGTCTCCGAGATTGAAGACAGGAAGAAGTGGGAGCTTCCTATGGAACATGCGCAGAGAGATTTTAAGCTGTGACGTATTTCGGGGTCAAGAAACCGTTAAAATAACTAAAAAAATTTTCCATTCATCTTCCTCGCTTCATATGCACTAAAGAATGCAGGCTCTAAATTGCTATATTACCTAGTAGAAATGACATAAAATCTYGTACGTAAAAACTAATTTCATCAATAGACTGGAACAACCTTGGGGGATCTGAGTCAGCATGGCTAACACAAAGATCAAATTGGCAGGGGTTTCAGCAAAAGGCTCAGCCATACTTGCTCTCATCCCATCATTCCTTAAAAGACGAGTTAGTTACCAGGCTATTTTAAATTTACTTTTGGAATTCTGTACCGAGGTTCAATAAAAAGAATCAAGTTTGTTTGTCATTAAATAAAACAACCAACTTCATAAAAATTGAATTAAAGTAAATATACTACTTTAAGACAGATTTTGAAAATTTATTTAAAATGAAAATTAAAGCAAGATGACTCCGAAGCGTCGGATTTTTGCGTTAATTTTCATTTTAAATATACTACACAGGGAAATTCTCATTAGCTACAGTAGGTAAAACTTGGTTTAGCCTAGTTTTGGCTTCTAAGCCGGACTTCTCTTTATAAATTTCCGCGATGACTCGAGCTGCCATTCACTATGTAGTATAACTGCATTGCCGAATGGCTTCGTTAAACGTGCCTTTTAAAATGTATCATACTTTGAGTTAAAACTTTTAAAAAATGGTTACCCAAAAATTATCTTGGAATTTCATTACAAGTGGCACTGCATGCCCCATGCGGCATCGTCAGCTCACACGATAAGCCAGTACATGAAGTATCATAACCTTATTGTCATTTGGTAATTTTTCAAACCATGTTTCATTCCCTTGAGTATATATTACTCTTTGTGTATCAGTAATGCTCGAGAAGATACCGATATTATTCCAAGACAATTTTTGCCTAGACATAATTTATGGATAAAAAACAATTCAAACTAGACCTTCCCTAATATTGTTATATAACGTTCTCCCCGAGTCGTCAGCTTTCCTGGGATAGAACTGATAAGTTTCGCAAAAACCTCGATATAGGAATTTCTAAGAAAAATCTACAAATGGCGTCTAAAAATAATATTCTACTAATAAGCCTTTTCATAGTTTAAGAATCGATTCCACTGCGCATGCGATTTTATCCCGAATTTCTCACCTTCTTTTGTCTAAACCTTCTTTTGTCCTTAATTAAACAAAAGAAGGTGAGAAATTCGGGATAAAATCGCATGCGCAGTTGAATCGATTCTTAAACTATGAAAAGGCTTATTATATCCAGCCTATCTACTCGTAACCACAGCAACCACAGTGAAGGGTTTTGAACACTTATTAAAAATACATTTTACTAGCCGTTTGATCAATTAAATTTGATAACTTCGATTTGAATCAAAATGACCAGGCTTCTGCAATTAAAAACGACTGGAAAATGAACCAGGCCTTCAACATTAAAAGCAGACTGGTGACTATTCTTTAATCTAAGGGACCGACCGACTAAGGATGAACGAATCCGAGCGAGAGTATTTTAAAAATAATTATTTATAAAAGCATTCCAGCCAGCTTAAAGAAGTGATCATTTCTCAGGACTTTGCGCGCGTATCCTATTTGAAAAGAAAAAGTGAATGAATGGGAAATGAATGGGAAGCAACCGTAAATGCTGTATGTTCCCTATTCGCACGAAAAATGAGACCTGGTCTAAAAATACCACCACAAAACAAAACAAAAAAAATACGGCCACGTGGATTAGAGTCGATGTTAGACTTCACTTTCTCGCTAATCAGATATGGACACGCGGGCGCGATCCCGAGAAAAGACCTCAGTGGAAACACCATGGAAACTAGCTAGTTCTTTTTTGGTTGTGCTTAAGCATGTTTAGCCTTATTTTATCAATTTTGTCTTCATACAAAAGAAATTTACCGTCTCTTACCAAAAGCTTGGATACAAAATTCAATATTTTAAATGGAAAGAGGGGTTACATTAAACGATTTCATAAGCAGAGCCCAGTTTATCGTTTAATACCCAAGAATTGCGTACAAACGTATATCCAAGCCTTGATAAATTCACAACACCAGTATCACATCGTAATATATTCTACTTTAAAACACTTACACACGCGTAGAGGATAACACACAACATTGCGTCCATCAAAGCCAATTTTGATAATGACCAGTAACGCACGTTTGCGAGTAAGGCGCAACAGTAATAAGGCTATCAATTGGATAGCTTAGTCCAGTTCTTGTCGCTGTAGAGATTGGAGCAAGAAGTGATTCTTCGAGGCGTTTCGAGTGCGAATAGTTACTCGCCAAACTTGAAAGATAGTTCCTTGAATTCACGAGCGCGAGGTTAGGCGTAAGTCCATTGCTCGCAGACAACAGAGGATGAAATGATGGCATGAAAAAGGTAGGTTGAGTGGGAAATGGCATTCCGAACTTATAGGGACTATACTGAGCCATAGGGTGAGCGCGAGCATCTGAATGTAAATCAAAGGGCATCCTATGTTCGGCACCATAATATGCCTTATCTGGCATCCCACCACAAAAATGTGCCGTTTTGTATTGAGGATGAGTGGATCCATATTGGTGAGGGTTCGGTAGTGTCTCAGGGTAGCCTGACCGCTCGTGTTCAGATGGTATAGAGATTTGGCAATGATTCTTGGTCTCTGCGCATTCACCATTTGTTTTCGCTACAGCAGGCGGAGACTTGGGTTTCGTAGGGACGGGTAATCGTTCCTTCTCTTCGCGCTTGGAGTCCACATCAGAGGCCTTGGTCGTGTTTCCCAGAATATTACTGATGCAAAATGTAGAAGATGCATTTGACGGACGAGAAGCCTTATTATGATTCTTGGTTTCTTCAGTGTCCTTTCCTAAAAGTCTAGAAACGCTGTAATTCGAAACGGTAGAGGCAGAACGGATCTCTCCCTGCGCAATGGAAGTTTTATTCTCTCGCATCTTGTCCTTGGAATATTGAAACGATTCGGCTTGGCGAACATGCCGTTCACGTTCGTCTTGGTCAATGACATTTGCTCTACTGGTTGTCGCTCCTGTGGAAACACGATCTTCAAGATGGCTTCTTGGTGCGACAATACCATTGGGCAGACATTGCTCACGAGGCCAGCCATGGAGGTGTCTGACAATGTCGCTTTCCCGAAGCTCGCGCAGCTTCTGAAGCTGATCCCGCGCCATTCCAGCGTGCATTTTCTGTGCCAAATCATTACAGCTATTGTTTTGTGACGATGGCAGCCGACTTTCTTTAAACGTCTCGGTTACAACTGAAGGGTCTTCGTTCACTAGACGGTCGTACATGTTGTTGTTTATATCCATTTTTACAAGCTCCCCAACGTTATTTTTCTTCTGAACGTCTTCACGTTGTTGTTTATTGTCACCAGCCATTTGCCAGGTCATCGCCTGCTGCAGCACCGACTGAGGTTCCTTGTCTTCCCGAGACAAGGCCGTTTCAGCCAGCATATCCAAATAATTCTCGTGCAGGGCGCTTTCTCTTGCGGTGTTTCCACCTCCCTTTTCCGCTGCTGCCTCTTCCTGAAGCATCTTTTTCCTTGCAACCTTTTGCTCCCATTCATCTAAGCCATGGTACCTCGTGTTCAGTTGCTTGTGTTGGTAGAACACCAAGCTAATTCTGGTAGGAGAGTGACGCTGTGGGTTTTTCAAGGGTGTTGTAGCATGAATTTCCTTCTTCGCTACTTCAATAAGTAGAGAGCCCGGAGTTAAGGCAAGCGCCACACCACCCATCGCCTCGTCGAATTTATAAACCTTTTTCGTCGGTGACACCTCCGCGCTCTGTTTCCCAGGTTGCGCGCGCTTGACAGGAGGGCCACGCCCTTGTTCATGTTGCACACCAGGGCTATTAGACCGCATTACAGGAACATCCTTCTCATCAACATACTTGATATCTGTAAGAGATTTTCCCCATTCTATAGGTGCCCCACTGTAGTGGTGAATAACTGCTTTAGGTTTAGTCGCTTCGCCACCATGGATGCCATTCCGAAGATGTTCTTCACTGAATGTCTTCGCGGGAGGTGGCTGCATACTCCAGGGATTACCAGGTGGAAATATCCCCTTGTGATCCTCTGGGTACTCCAGTGGGTAGTGCTGGTGTTGAGAATAGTGGTTCATATGCGCGCTGTGTGTCCGGTAGAGGTAAGGAATATGGTTCTCATCCACCCAGCGAACATCAGGAGAACGTAACCGGTCCACGAACAGGTTACTCCCGAGGAACGGATAATACGGCAGATGAGACTTGGTACTAAAATGATTATTATAATAACCATTCATAATATGATTAGCCGCAGGGTGATGATGAACAACCGACGTAGGATAGCCGTAAGGTGGATCACCTAACCCGTTACTATGAAAACGGTCACCATAGACACCACCGTTTATATAAGGATTTTTTTGATTTTCCGTGAGAGGCGAATGTTCTTTTTTGGCTACAGCTTCCTTTCGATCTTCGGCATTTGTTTTTATAGCGTTCTGTGATTTCTCTTTGTCCTCTTTTGGTAGTGCTTTGAATACAGAAGAGACATCAAGGGACGGTGAGCGCATGTGGGCTGGCATGACGTAGTTGGGACTGGCGACCTTACCATCCTGGTCTAGCAGTTGGTACATGGGTAACACGTGTAGCTGTTCGTCTTCAGCGTCGGCTCCTGCTTCAGGCTTGAGTAACGTACAAACCTGGAAATGATGATCACCGGTATTTAAAAAACATTACCTTTCAGTAGAAGCAATGCTTCTGATTTGAAGGGGGAATCAAGTCAGCCAAGGTAAGTTGTTTTCGTTCTATTTCATGGTATATGCTCAATACAAAACAAAAGCACTAGAACCTCTATTAAGCGACCACCTATCCATAAAACGGCCAACCTCTATTAATCGTCCAGTTGTTCCCAGTTAGCCAAGTCCCAGAGGGTTTTAATTCTAATTCAAGCGACCAACCTTTAATTATGAACTACATCTATATAGCGGCCAGTTTTTGAGGTGGTCAGTTGTAAACAACAATTGAATGGTGTTAATAACTGACCAAAAGTGCATAGATTCTTGTACAAGTGGTCGTATATGACCCTATAAAAAATTCCTCTATTTCGTGCTATTTTGGGGTTGGCGCATAACAAATATTTAACTGATATAGCTAATTTATTCTTACCACAGTGGCACCGCCATCCATGTTTTGTTTGTCCTTGTGGCTGTGAGCGCAGAAGTCCATGCAGCACGTTATTCCAGAAAATGGGCGATCACCTTCATCGTTACCGATGCGACACTCGAAACCATCCTTATTCTTTATCTGAAAGTAAATACAGATAACCATTAACCTTATCGAACCTTCAAGCAATATCTTGGCTAATCTGATTAGTCAGAACACGGCTAACTCACAGGTCCAACATTGAAACAACCTCTGGGCTGATCTAAGTCAGGTAGTTTGTAA